TCCACTGGTACTAGTTAAGTCCTCTTACACACTATTGTCATTTATTTTTGAAGAACATGGTCACAAAAATAAAGAGTGAATGCAAGCGACGAATGCGAAAGGGTAACAAGAGCATATGATATCAGCACTTCCAATGATGGTCGGGCGCATGTTACGCGTGGTGGTCAGGTGCTCCATAGCTGCTTTTTTTTCAAAACTAACTGCGCATTTGTAAACGATGCATAGGTCATGGGGATAAAAATAACTTGCACAATTCTCCACCAAAATGCATACGAGCCGTTCACCATTGGCTCATGTGTTCCTTCATGGATTTAAATATATACGTAAAAGGTTACTTCATGGAACCATTTTATTACACAGTCTGCAAGTGCGTCGATCCAGGTGACATGTAGCCCGGGAATATGGGTCATGAGACTGGCAAGTCTCTCGGTTGACTGTTCCAACCTCGGTTACTTTGGGCCACATAAATGAACCTTAACACACGTTACCGTATCTGGACTGACTACGAAGCTGACAGTCATAGACATCTGACCCTAACTCGTAACAGTACTCAGATGGATGCAGTTTCACTTCGGATCATGCCTGTTAGCTGTCTTGCTGACCTATGAAATGGTCAAAGAATACTTGTTCGAATGTATGTTCGAGAGAATGGGCAGAATACACCCATTTACTACCTGATTTGGTCTTAATTGAAGTCAGTCCTTTCGCTCGTAGTATTCTTCGAATGAGTGTGCTGCACAAAAATCGCATCAGTCGGTTCGATGTTCGTGAAATCACAATATAATTTCGTAACCGAATATACAACTCAAAAGGCTGCTGAAAACTCTTCAATAGTCCACGACCAGGCTATCGAGGAGTTCCCAACAACCTTGTGCGTAGCAAGTTTCATCATGGACGCTTACCTCACTACGTGCATTCTCTCACCGAATGATAGATTTGGTTCGGGTTCGACGGTCACAGGAAATCATCAGGAAAATGGTTCAGTGATTACGATTTCTGTTATTTCTGAACAGAAACAGTGTTCACAGGTTTAGTTTCAGAAATACACTACCCAGGTAGAAAGGAGCCAGCAAAGCGAATTACTGAAATCTAAATCATCAGGCTTTGCTACCGAAAAGTGGCAGGAGAATGAGTTGAGTTCATCAGATCATTTAGTTGACCTACCGAAAACAGTTTTCAAGGGCTTCCATGTTGACAAAGCTGGAGCTTTTATTTAAAGCAATTCCTACCTCCAAGTCGCGAAATTGAAAGTTAAACACTATTTAAGCTGCTCAGTAGATACTGATTCAGCGACACACCTTCAAATCGTGCACAGCCTACCCTTGAGCGGCAGTGCCAAACGAACGGGTGCGTTAAACCAAAGTTCCTTAACCTTAAGAACTCGGAAAAATGAGAAATAGAAATGGCTGTCGCTGACAACCTTCAACGCAACTATCATCCGCTGAACAGAAATCTATTACGAACCTGATGAATACGTAATATTATTCGGTGTAAACCGAGAGAATGAAAACCACCCTACACTTTTCCAGACCCGATGTCACTGCTTATAACATATTTATTAAGGTGCACACGATTACCACCTAACAATGAACTCGGTCGGTCAGTGCTAACAGTCATTCGCGCATCTACAGACCTTGGTTCATTTGTTCGATCACGTGATTGGCCGGTGAATCCTGTTCACTTATCGATCGGCTGGAACTTCGCACTTACCATTCAGGCATGGTCAACGCTATGCTTATTAATTGGCTCATCTGTGGTCAGTTCACACGACGCACGCTGGTACAGTTTCGTCAGTTCAACATAAGAGCGGTTATCGGTATGCCTGCCGTCTACCGTTTGTCTTAAAAGTTACGACCCCAGCTAGACAAATGAAAAATGCGTTCAAGCGNACGCATGCTGGTACAGTTTCGTCGGTTCAACATAAGGGCGGTTATCGGTATGCCTGCCGTCTACCGTTTGTCTTAAAAGTTACGACCCCAGCTAGACAAATGAAAAATGCGTTCAAGCGAAAAGACGAACATGCACGCACAATATCCCACTTTAAGAGAGCACAGTAGCAGAATAACACTGTACAAATAAGGTAAAGGCAAGAGACAAGCTGAACCGAGGTAAGCGACAGGTTACGCATGCAATGCAGCCAACTTGCTGACAGAATGAGTGTGAGACTCACTGACAGTGGTTCGGAGTGACTGATATACCGCTGGCTTGCAGTTCGGAAACCAAAGCAAACGGAACTGTCTTGATGGGTCTGTTTGGGTCACATCCCGCATCATCACCGCTGTTCCCCATTTTTTAAGAAGGAAGATGCTCCCACAAGAGCCATCTCTAGACGGACACAAGCATGCTGTAGATGAAGTAGCGTACCCACAGACGTGGAATCCCAATCCACAGTGATGATTGTGTTAACCATTCTTTGCCGTGCTTTCACAATTGCAGAGTCCCCAAAAATGCTCATCAGCTATCAGAAGTTTGTACAGTATGTCCTGCTCAACTGACTTTAGTTTGCATCCCTGTCGGGGGGTGTGTACCGTATACAAATTCCTCGCGTAAACGTTAGTTGCCTACTCCTCGGCTATGGAAATTCGGCACCTTTCTGCCTCCTTTTTATTTACCGTGTTTAGTCATAGTAAAAAAAGCCGGAAATCTACCGCTTCAGTTAATCGTCTTTTCATAATACCAGTCTGAATGGGGCTGTGAACCATAGTTTCTGTAGGATTTTGTCTCCAGGGGAAGCTCAGGCCGGATAACTTACTCCACACAGGTCTGTCTCCTGGTTTGAAAACCGATTCTGACGATTCGGCAAGCCCCCCACCTGAAATAGTGAACGGCCACAACACACGTAAGTTTTGAGTGGACTGAGTCCAAAAGTTATCGCCATTTAAGAAAATCATTGTCCAACCGCAGTACTTTAATTAGGAATGCTAGTAATGAGAATTTCATAAATTTAAGATTTGAAGGACAAATAGTTGCTCAGCTTTGTTTAGGTTTGGGTGCCTAACTTTATGCACATACTAGTCTATTTAGGTTTGGGCATGCGGTCGCACCGTGCGATACTCGTAACTTAGGACAGTTATCCCACAAACACAGATCAGTAGTAACTGTGATATTTGCATTTCTGCCTTTTGACAACACTCAAGGAGCCGCCCACGCCAGCGTTAGCATGCTTTTTTATTTCTGTGCCGCTGAAAATCAGCGCACGCGGTCACAGTTCACTGGATAAAAAGGGGTAGCTGAAATTCGGTAGGCCATGATGTAATGGTCGCAAACTGTCACGTCTCCCAAAATCGCCTCAGCGGTTGATCGAAACAGTGCACTGACGGACCGGGGAGTGACCCGAGGAGCACGCTGAAGCAGTTGTATCCAGCGGTTCGATGGTCTTCACTTTATGCAAAAATCAGCCATTAACTTGTAAACTTCAAGAGAAGTTAGCTATCGTTACCATTTGACATAGCCTGCTTCAAAATGGGACCAGCTGTCGCCCGTTTGGTGTGCAAGCCGAGTTGGTCTGTGGCAAACCAGTCTAGCTTGTCCACAAGATTTACGGGGGAAGGATTTTACTACACTACGGCTTTGGACACGGCCTGGATGGCCAGTTATTATTAGGGATGACAGTCATCCGGGAACTCCCTACAGAAACAGGTTTCTAAGCAACCGGGAATCAAGTTGATCACCGAGGCAGACGAAGAAAACGGACTAAAATCACTTGGTTGTGTTAAACGTGGTCGAAACAAGATATCTCTTCAGGACCCAATAGAACAAGGGCTCCAGCCGAGGAGTACAGCTAAGAACAATCACCAAGCGTGCGTTTTGCTGCTGAAACGAGTGGGCCTACGTTTCTTGCTTTTTAAAGAAATGGACTTTTTGGACTTTCTCCAAAAGTTGGATTAGAGGGGCCAGCATGACACGGTGGCGAAATATCACGGGAAGCAGGACCACAAATAATAAGGCGAGGTAAACAGTTATTATGCCATGAAACTATGCTCGCCAAATTTGGCACTTTCCAGTCGGTCGTTATTAGATGAGTCTCAAACGCTATCAAGTTAAATAGCAGCAGAAACCGGAATGATGATGCAATCGGAGCACCACCCTGTACTTGTGACCAAAGATACCCTGCTATCCTTTTCCCAACCGGTATTCCAACGCCCTGGTTAAAGTAATGTGGGTTCTCAAAAGTTAGACGTAACACTTGTGCAGATCCGATATTCGGAATAGTAGCGACCGACACATTTTATCTCACGGCAGCAAAGTCAGTGTCGAACATTGATGTCATGCTTTCTTCTTCTCTACTCATAAGGCTGTCGAAAACCTTTCGAACGAGTAGTAGCCCTCCGTTTCTCGTGCAGTAACTTTGTAATCGTCGTAGAGATTGCACTCATTCGTAGGGTCGTTCGGTGTTCCCGAGGCTGTCAGAAGAAAAGCTCAGTTCAAATACTTTCTCTCTGCTACGAAGACTAGTACAGACATACTATTTTTGCGCCTGTAGCTAGGGAATTAACCTCGTCAGTTTGAAGACTTCGATTTCAAAAGCGGTGAGCATTGCATCAGTACAATAATAATGATAACTGTTCGGCAGTAACACCGTTTCGGTGCCTAGCTGCCATGCCACCCGGAGGAAGCAGGAGGGCTGAGATGCTGCTAGGAAGCCTCAGCATAGACAGGAGCAGTCAAGATGCAGAGGTTGGGTTTGGACCACGGGACTTTCAGTTCGTGCCTTCAGCAGTGATCCATCGAACATGTCCCGAAATTGTCAATGAGACCGGCGGTCGACGGTCAGGGTGACGGGTGGTTGGTAACGACCACGGGACACATATCTTAAGCTCATCGAGCATTTAGCAAAGGCCTAAGACTATCGATCCCTAAGGAGCTCAGACGCACCATTCGAGTAACGCAAAAACTGAAGGGACGGTCACTGACGCAGAAATACGGGGTACACTTTCAAAGGCTACTGGAAGATAATCGGTCATCATATACGCTGTGCGTGAAAGGGTCCTATGTTGCTCCGAGGAATGAAACCCTCACCGTCGGGAAAAACACAAATGAGAGAAGGTAATCAATGAGAAGGACACGATATTGTACAAGAGAGAGATCAACAAAAAACTAAACGAGGCAAAACAGCGAAATTAAACCTGCGTATTAGGTCAATACAGGGAAGGGTTAGGACATGAGGAACACAGGGGACAGGCACGGCACTAACTGTCCGCCGACCGGGAACATGAGCGCGTGGATAAGACACCGTCGTTAGAGGGAAGCAGTAAGAGGTGCGGGTGATTGATGTGGAAATCATAATTGTGTTGTCGCGTGCTGCGGGGTCGAGAAAGAGGCATTTCCGACGGCACTTCGTTCGAACACCAAACGCTGGTCGGGGGGGAGAATCAAGAATCATCAGGAAAGCAAAATAGCAACCGAATGAACCATCGCAGACAAATTAGAGGATGAGAACAGGATAAGGGCACAGCGAACCGCCAGCTTAGTTAGAGGCTAAAAGTACTGTGATCGAGGGTAGGACAAATCCACGTGAGATCCGTCGGCATAACCGGCGAGAGCGATTCAGCGAAGTGAAGGACACGTCTATCTGTGCAGGAAACTCCACATATCTGATGGAAGATCGATCGAAACAGAATGATTCATAGATAACACATGACAGAGAAGCGAGCGCAACACACATTTGGCAGTAAAATCGTACATGTGCTTGCTGTGTTATAGGACGAGAATGGATAGATGGATGGCGATGGCGTGGATCCGAGGATGGGAATGACGGGGATGCGCGCGGACTAGGCTTGACCCATCTGTCTGTTTGGGTGTTGTTTAACGTTCAAAAGAACGATACACGTAGTAGGGAAGGTGACTATCTGCAACATTTACTAGTCGGGGTTGCCGTATCACCGCCTTGGAGCTGTTGTCCACCTGTGGGGTTCGCCGGCGCATCACGAGGTAGTCGAAGAGCTTGTATGTCAAGAAAAGATAATCCAAAACATTTCAGTAGGGCAAAGTTAAAGAGTAGGAAGTCAACGACAACAGTACCCCATTTTCATACATATTCGGTTTTGACGGGAGACTCAACTGAATACCTCATTTAATGTTTTTAGGCAACTGAAAGTGCTGCACCAGGCCGCCCCATGTTTTAGTTGGCACGATATTCGAGATATAGCGAAATATAATAATATAATAATAATATAATATAATGTAATATATTGTAATACACTACAAATAAGGTCTTTCTGAAAACTCCAACAATCCACGACTGGTTTCGCCTTTCTTGCGGCTCACCAGGTGGGCACAGTTCCCGAGTTTCGATCAACCTTATGTCTTACTTGAACCCGAACAGCACGAAATTCGACAAGTACACTCATTCGCATACCAATTTGGTTTTCATGGGAGACTCACCAAAAATCCAGCTGGATCGTTCATTAATGGTGCTCTTAACCACCACATGTGTATAAGACGAATGTTCCTAATTCTCATTTAAACAGTGAGACCCCCTGTTTCAGAGATTGCCCAATAACTACTAGTATCACGAAGGGTACAATTTTAATCTACGAGTTTTTTTGGCCTGAGTTCCCCTTTGGACAAGTATCCTGGGATTTTCGAAGCCGCTCATCTGGTGTGTAAGAACACCATTACCGGGAGATTCCCCTGGGTTCCAGGTGTCTCCTGTCAAAACCATTTTGGTATGCAAATAAGGGTACTTATCGAATTTCGTGCAATTTGGGTTCAACTAGAACATAAGGTTGACGGACACTTGGGGACTCCGCCTACCTGACGAGCGCCAAGAAGGGCGAAACCGGTCACGGGATGTCGAGGTGTTTTCAGAATGGTATGTTACATGTAAACATTCAGTACATTCTAGGAGAAAATATTCACACTTATCTTACGGGTTTAGCTTTCACAGGTATAATACCTGGAAAAAAACATCATCCATCATAAACCAGTCCGGATTGGACAGCGTATCTTTTCTTCTCAAACCAGTGACTTATAAAGGTCGTCTTTATAGTGTTATTATCCTTCATGAATGAACGAACAAAAGTCATCCAGGAAATGAACAGTTGGCAGTAAGTTAGGGGAGTACTTGTAAGTACGCCGCCCTGTTGCACATCGATTTTTTAACCCCTGGCTATATGTACAGGCCTTAAGGTAAACTGACATAAAGCCTTGGTGAGAGTAGTCAATCGCGATAAACAATCCGCATCTGAGTCCCCCCAGGAATTCAAGGTGCGCACTGTAGATGGCTCTCGATAAGGAAGAAGCAACTAAGTGCATCTTGTTTGTTTTGATTTAGATCAACTTCAGTGAGGGAAACTTCAATCTATACTTCAAAGTTTCCTCACTACCCAAAATATACTGTTTGAACAATTGTAAATATCCATCAATGGTGAGACTGATCATTTACATGTCAGTACCAAGTGGGCAGTACGCGGAAACGGAAGGAGTTTCAAGCGGTTGGCAGAGGTGTCTGTGTGAAGTTCGAGGTCGCGCAATTACTAACTGGAGAAACCAGTGGTAGTAGTAATGTAATGGTATTCTTGTGGAAACAATCAAACTCAGCTGATCCGTCGAAGCGAGTCTTTTGGGTTACGTTCGCCTCAGATAAGGACAACCGTCGTGTGTATGGAAGCTCATCGTTAGTTACCACATCATGACGAGCGTACTAAGGAATCTACCGACCCAAATCGTTTTACAGTGAATCAAAATAATGCAAGCCATGTTAGAATACGTACCAACGGCAGTGAATAGTTCGGTGATGTTTGTGCAAGCTTTTGCTGAAGTCTCCATGAAAATCAGCCCGTTTTGAGTAGCATAGGCTTGTGCCTCCTGCAACAAGATGGAATGCAATTAATGGAATGAATTAGAGGCGTTGCTTAAGCAGGAATAAAATAAATATACTTGAACAAAAATATAACTAAACTGTGGCCGACAAAGAAACATACCGCAGACAAATCTTTTATCAACCCGGGTATACTTTATCTAAGCAGGATTAATAGTGTCGTACGTTCGAGAACCGGGCAAACACACGGAGGACACACTGGTTACTCCACCTATGTGAATATTATTTTGTCGGTGTTAGCAGGTCTTTGTAGACCCGTGAAGTATAGTTGATCACTTTGGGAGCCAATGCTGAAACCAGTGAAGAACCCACTCACTCTAGTCACACTACTAAAATGACGAATATGATAATAATGAGCATTCAGCTGTAACATCCATCCGATGCCTAGCTGTCATGCCACCCGAAGGGAGCACAAGGGCTCGGATACTGCCATGCAGGTCCAAGTCTAGACAGAAGTGGAGATGCAGAGGTCAAGTTCGGACCACGGACCTTCCCGTCAGTAAGCTTTGAGCCAATCGGCGTTGGGAAAAATAATTTATTAAATGCTGTTCATGGTAATCTAGAGAGTGAAAAGGAAGAAGACCGCCATATGTGACGCGAAAAGTTTTCCAACTCAGTGTGCAAGATAAAAACCACAGATACTCCGAGCCAGAATTTATTTGAACTGCTGTCGCTTGCATGACTCGACATTCCAGAGTTGATGATCAACGGTGCTACAAAATTACAGCGATTGAAAATATTTGAGGTATTCACACCTAAACGAAGAGTATAGCCGTCTAACACATGATTTCTAAAGACGCTGATTTCTGTGACCAATAATAGGTGAACGGGAGGTGACGCAGAGCTCGCGCTGACATCACCACGCTATAGGGCAGCAGCACGATCAGCCAATAACTGAACAAATTCAGTCCACGGTCCGAAGACCAACCGTTGGAGCAGTAGTTCACAGTGTACAACTGTGGGTGAACAGAGGCCAAAGGTCATCTAGTTTGTAGGATTTGTTAATTTTAGTCAGCAATGCAGATAAACAGTACAAGCACCACAAACGGCGGGCTGACAATCATTGAAAACACTCACGAACTGAACCAATCAGTCAAGCGAATTCGAACAGGCAATGCAGAGTCCAGAAAGATTGTTGGTACACAAATAGAAACCTGTTACTTTTCCGGAGCGAACCGAGATTTTTGATTTCTTTGGTCGCGACAATTATCACTCCAAGATCTTAGCTCAATTTGTTCCACTGTAACTTGCTCACGCATCACTTAATATATTCACGGTTCGCGCTCGTAGTCATGAAGGTTGCAGACAGATAGGATCTTATCAACTGCATGTACTTGTACAACTACCTGAGTTATACTGGGGACCATTAGAGTACTCATAAGGTCTCCAATATGAAAGTTGGTCAATTGACAGAGGGCCAGCGAACATATACCTGGCGTTTAAAGTTGGAGGAGGAACAGTTTAGTACTAAAAACTTGTATTTCTGTGGTAGTATGTCTTGAGGTCAGGTTTCTTAGAAAAGCGACTTCGGTCGAGGGTCTAATTGATCGCCTATCTAGATTTGGGTGCTCGGGTACGACTACAGTGTGCTGTAGCGTTGTGCACGCGACCACTGACGAAAAAGTGACGAAAGTGATTCGGGTCTTCGAGAACCTCATGGAACGAATCTCAATGGACGCACTTCCGTCATTGTCACGACGGCTATCGATGTGCGTAAGATTTTCCATGACATCCAGGTGAACCGAGTGATGGCCGATTTTGCGCGGCATCAGATTCGTGTACTGACCTCATCTTTCACACTACAATGAGAGCAAGTACAACTTCCAAGATGACCCACACCTTCGATTGCCTCTCCTTAGATTTTTCAGTGACCGCATGTCCAAGGGGAGCATGATCTTACATTTTGTGGGTGAAAAACACATGCCGAAGGTCGACTCATCCAAAACACCCGTGCTTTCTTTTCGAGCACGAGAATGATACCACCTGCATATTTCAGATCGGAAAGGTTTTCGTCAACAGCTACTTAAAAATCAGGGTTCTAAAGATTTTCGAGCGCTCGTCTCATTACCTCATCGATCACAAAACTGAATAACTCATAGACTGGACATCAGTTTTCATAAGGAGACTTTTGGAGAGCTGCTCGCAAGTCTGAGAATGCAATGTGCATATTATATCATCAAACTTCAGGATATCCCCTACTGAGCAAGCATGTTAGAGAGAATAGACTAGTCGACTGCGCTAAATACACTTTTTATCTCATGGAATACCGAAATTGCGGGTTGTTATGTCCTAGCATCTGACGGAGTGTGACGATGTGGTCAACGTAAACTCTACCGGACTAACCTAGAAGGGGAAGGTCAGCATGTGGTTTCCGGTTACAAAATGTGACAGATAACCAATGTCAGCGGCGTTCGTGTTGTTAGTTTCCGCCCAAGTCGACTGAGCAACTTTTTAGAAGATAAGGATAGTACTTTCATTCTTCTTTACCTTGGAACCTCGAAAAAGTGTCAGTTAAACAGTGAAATGACGATAAGAGAAGTCAACTGAGCCAACAGGCAACACTATCACAATATGTGTGGTTTACAGTTGGTGAAAATTTGAAAAAAACGACGGGAAGAGCGATAAATTAAACTCATCGAAGTATAAATAGCCCCTTTTGATACCGGAAACTAGGCGACCATAGGTTCAAGCACATACGGTAAAACTAAAATAGCATTAATGAACATCGCACATACTATTCGCAGACAGATCTACGTCTGAGAATCACACACCGTCCTCCACTGGTATTTACTCAACACGCAACCATGTCAAGGACTCATGTTCAGTCACACACGATCGATTGTACTATGAGTCCACACCACACGATATCATGTGATAGAAGATAGTATTCTGCTCACGTGCTACAAGTCATGAAAGACATATAAGAAAAGAACTAATTCATGATTGTGACCAACCGAGCACAAATGGCTAAAAAAAGTTGATCGATCGCAGTAAGATCAAAGCGATGACTAGTTGCGAACTAAAGTAATACATATAGCTTAAGCGTCTTCAACGAGAGCTAAATTTTTGAAACGGTAGATAGTCTGACGAAGAGTAGGATTAGTAGTGATCGAGGGCTGAAGACGCAGTGTAGCAATATACGTAGTACAACTGTAGCTCCCTCACGATTAAAGGAACTTATTGCGCTCAATGCATGTCCATGTGTCACACTTGAGACAAGCTGGTGAACGCCGAACCAAACTATGGTTAGACTAAGTTTTATCATCCATTCCGCAACCCACATTAGAATTCATGGGCATACAACTCGAGCGTACAGTCGCTGAGATGACAACACAGTGGATAGAGCAACAGGCAGCGTTGGCTACCCGTATACACATTCCTACTACGAACTTCGTTGATACAGTGTCATCAGATTGAAGAGATACCTTACAAGTACACGTCAGTATGATAAACGGTCCCAGATATTGATAGCTCCGGTGAAGTTACTGGTTGCTCTGTTCACCGAGTTTGGCAATGGACTTGCAAACGTTTCGTCACCACACGAGGAGACTTTGTGAGTGTGCAGTTGGGTGGGTGACTCATTGTAATAACGGTATTATCCTCAGCTTAGTTCTCGGTCTGAACCTGCCAAGCTAGCGTTAACGCCAGAACAACCACCAGAGGTGCGCAAAGTGTATTAACACCCAAAACCAGGTCGTGTATAAAGCGTACGCCGTGACAAAACTCTGGAATTCCTGACGCCTTCCGGATGGGAAAACTGACAAGTGGCATTCGGCGAATACTGAGTCATGATTTTCTATTGGGTCCGCGCTTTCAACCAATCAGAGCTGGCTTTGATGTCGGACCGGCAAGCGGCTCGAACTTTCGGCCAATCTTGTGCAGCCGTAGCAGCGCCTAACTGCGAGCGGTAAAGCGGTATCGGTTTGGAATTCTACCCAACACCTGCTAATGCGACCACATTTGAACTTTTCATGGGGTTCAACGGGGATGTTAGTTTCAGAGAAGTTTGGTAAATAATCGGTGTATTGAATTTGTCTAGCAAACCTGTCTGAAACGATGATTACTCAATCGGTCCCAAACATCTCCCAATAGACTGTTAGTTGTTGACAGTAAGGTGAATCCGAGCTGTAGCTAGTTGGTGCATAAGCAGACATTCGTTAATACTTTGGTCAAGGCAAGCCTCCATTAAAGCGGGTGGTTCGAAGCACACAGTCAACAGTTTACGGTATCCGAGCAAGTAAAGCTTTGGCTAGTGCCAACACCGGCTAGATAGATTGCAACAACTGTGGTGTCACCCGGAGCGGCTAGCGAGTGACATGAGCTTTAGAGCTGCAACAAATGCTGTCGACAGGCGAGCGCGCAAAACTAGACC